CTCTATTTTTTTATAAAAAAAAAATTGCAATTGAAGAACATAAATAAAAAAAAATCATAAAATTAGTATTAGTGTTTAAATGGTACAAAAAAAATGGAGTTTAAGGTTAAAATGGAACAAGGCTAAGTTGGAGTGCCAAAATGAAAAATGAGGGCAAGTTTGAGGGGTTGTGTATGTGTTTGGCCCACGAATATATGACTAAATTACAATGATAAAGAATCAAATTGGGGATAAAAGTATAAACTCAATTTCAATATTTGATGGAGATGTACACAATTCAACATATGGATGCTCATTGCTCAGTAATTTCTTATGCATTTCATAAAATACTTAAATTAGATGAAATAAACCTTAGCAAGTCCTCTTGATTTTATTTATTGCATCTTATGATACATGACATGCATGAAGGGTAAAGATGAGATACTACTTTTAAGGTGTTTTTTCCTTTTACGTAGCATGATCCATTGAGATTTGTTTTTGTTATTAAATATTTAAATATTAAAACATATTGTCTTATAAACTACATGTTTAAATAATGTATTTTTTCCCTTACTTTTGTTGGGTTTTAAAAAGTGTGAATGGAAAATGAAGAGTTGTGACTTTAGTGAAGAGTTATAACTTTCATAAAGAATTGTGACTTTTCTAAAGAATTGTGACTTATATGAAAAGTTTCAACTTTTCTATAAGGTTATAACTTTTACGAAAAGTTGTGAATTTTGATTTTTTCAAAGGGTTGTGACATTTTTGATAAGGCACATTAAGCACCTATTCATACTACTAAATATAGTATTTTAAATGTACTTTATTGTTTTTGAGTGATTCGATGACACCGTAGTTTTAGATATCGATACACCGGTGAGTAAGATTGTTCTATCTTGGAAGGATATATTCCATTAACTTCGGATACTTGATAATTATTTTATCTTGTTTAAATTAAGAAGCTCAAATAATTAATCGATAATTATCCATCTCATTTTAATTTTGACCAAATTTAGTTATTTGACTCAATTTTGGTAAGAATAGCAACTCAAATGGTCAAGTTTTAAATAAAGCCAAATACATAAACAGATCCCTAAAGTTGTTGGGTTTTTCCCCTCAGGTACCTCAACTATGCTATTTTCCTATTGAATCATTGAACCACCCATAATTTGTTCCTTTTAAACACCGTTGGCTGATGTGGAACCAAACTTCAACAAATATTTTTTGGCTGATGTGCGCGTGAGATCAACCTTCCCCACGTGGAAATTCCAACCAATCATACTTCAACCCAATTACACGTCTGCGCCACATATTCAATCCTCAAACCTAAAAACTAAAGCCCCTTCATTTCCCCCCAAAACATTTCTAACCCGATGCTAGACGAGAAAACCCGAACAATTGTTCTTCTTTCAGTGACATTTACAACTAAAATTCTCAGATTTTGAAGTGATTTCGAGTGTTTTGTTGAAGGAATCATCGAAAATTGTAGACGATTTTGGAGTTCAATCACGATTTTCGAGTTGACGGGTGTGAGGTAAGTTCATTCCCTAATTTCTATGTAATTTTTATTGTTGTAACGTGATATATACTGCATTTTAGTATTAATGTGATGGTGTGTTGTTAATATCTGAAAAAAGTTAGGGTTTTTTTTGTTTCTTATTGTTCATAACATGTTAGAAATTTTTGGGGCTTTCGTCTTGTTTCAGGGAATCTTATGGACACCATTATACTTGTTTCTTATTCTTCATAACATGTTAGAAATTTTTGGGGCTTTCGCTTTGTTTCAGGGAATCTTATGGACACCATTATTATAACTCGTTTTCATCATGGTGGTAAGTTTATTCAGGACAAAAATGGAATTACTTATAAAGGGGAAAACGAGGTGGAATATGTTAATATCGACAAGGACCACTTCTCAATAATCGAATTACTTTTTTACACTAAACAATTGGGATATATTACTGTTGGTGGGTTCTGTGTTAAAGACCCCACAAAAAATGACTTTATTGAGGTGGAAACTGATTTCACTTTACTAAATCTTATCAAAGACCTAAAGGATGGTGATTTTTTAGACCTTTATGTGAAGCATGTGGTGGATGATGTAGAAGTGGTCATCACAACTAGTTTGCTTTGTGGGCCTGTAGTTGAAAAAAATAGCAATGTGGTTGGTGAATAAGACTTACAAGATATAAATGTGACTGCTAGTGAAGGGTTGAATCATGAGGCTGAATCTGAAAATGTTAATGTGGAAGTTGAGCCAGGGGATATATCAGATCTAGAAGAGGAATGGGCCGGATCAAATCAAGAAAGCAGTGTTGACTCTCAAAAGGATGTTATTCTTGATGAGGATGACTCTGAGGTTGATGAAGAATTGAGATCTCTTAGAAATGAAAGGAGAAATAAAGTGAAAAAGGAAAAACCTATTCAAACTGAGGAAATAAAGCTTGGAACAACTGGTATTGATAGAGGATTTGAAGACATAGGAAGGAATAAGGCTGCTAGATACACTGGAAGACTAGGGGGTGATGAGCAATATATAGATAGCTCAGAATTGGATAGTGATGACAGTAGGGATGAATTGGATCCAGATTTTGTGAGGGGTGTTGATTTACCAGCAAGAAGAAAAAGTAAAAGGGTAAGATTTGATCCTAATTGTGTTCTAGCTATTTTTGAGCTTGGTATGGTATTTGAAAGTGCTGAACAATTTAGAAAAGTTGTTGCAGACTATTCTTGTGAATATAAAATTAGGCTAAAGTTGAAGCCTAATGACAAAAAAAGGGTTAGAGTTAAGTGTGAGGACAAGAAATGTAAATGGTTGTTGTTTGCTAGTATAGATAAGGATTCTGGTGATTTTATTGTCAAAAATTATTATCCCGTGCATGTATGTCCTCAATCAACCAAGAACAAGTTGTGTACATCTAAGTTTGTTGCAGAAAAGTTCAAAGATGAAATTACCTGTCAACCATATATAAGATTGTGAGAAATTCAGGAATTGGTGAGAAAAAAATTTGGGTTATATGTTGGAAGAATTGTTTGTCATAGGGCAAAAAAGAGGGTTATCAAGGACTTCTTAGGTGATTGGAAGATGGAATTTTCAAGATTGTGTGATTATGCAGACATGATTAAACATACTAATCCTGGTACTTCATGTTGGGTGAGGACAGATAGAGAGTCTCAGCCAGGAAAAACTTTGTTTGTTTACATCTATGTTTGCTTTGATGCATTGAAGAGAGGCTGGTTGGAAGGATGCAGAAAAATTATTGGTTTTGATGGATGCTTTCTAAAGGGTTCTTGCAAGGGTGAATTGTTGGTTGCTGTTGGTAGAAATGGAAATCAACAGATGTTTCCAATTGCATGGGCTGTTGTTGACACAGAGACAAAACACAGTTGGAGTTTTTTCCTCAATTACTTGATAGAAGATCTGAACTTAGGCACAGGACATGGACTGACTGTTATGTCAGATATGCAGAAGGTTAGATAGTTTTTGTATTGTAGCTTGATCTCTTATTTTTTTAATTTCTTGTGTTGTTAATACTTTTTAATTTTTGTGCTATAACTGTTTACATAGGGTCTTGTACCAGCTTTATGTGAGTTGCTACCAGATAGTGAGAAGACAAGGTGTGCTAGACATATCTGATCCAACTGGCATCAAATATGGAGTGGTGAAGAAAGAAGGAACCAGTTCTGGAGATGTGCTAAGTCAAGTTTTAAAGTGAAATTTGAAGATGAGATGGATAAACTCAACAAATTAGGTAATAAAATTTGTGAGGACTTGTTGCATTATGAAAAACTACTTGGTGCAAAGCATATTTTAAGGAGCATTCTAAGTGTGACATTGTTGAAAACAATGTGTGAAACTTTTAATTCTTGGATACTAGCTGCTAGACATAAGGCTATCATAACTATGTTAGAGGAGATTAGGCACAAGATAATGGACAGAAATATTGCAATGAGGCAATTTGTTGAAACTTGGATCTCAGATATCTCTCCTATGGCTAGACTAGTACTTGAAGAGAACAAAGATCTTGCTAGACTTTGTGAAGTTAGATTCAATGGTGATATTGGGTATGAAATCTTAGATGGTCAGTACATGCATATTGTTGATATAAGGAAGAAGACATGTATATGTAGAACATGGCAATTGAGGGGCATACCATGTCAACATGTTGTGCTTGCATATCAGCACAAAGGCATAGAACCTGAACATGAAGTAGTGCATTGGTATAGGAAAGAGACTTTCTTGAAGGCTTATAATCACTTTCTACAGCCAATACCAAACATGAAAATGTGGCCTCACACTAGTGGTGTAGTGATTGAACCTCCTGACCAAAAGTCATGTCTGGTAGGCCACCAAAGTGCAGAAGAAAGGCAAAGAATGAGCCTAGGAAAAAGTATGGAAAGTCGTCCAAAAGAGGAGTAAAAATGACTTGCTCATTGTGTCATCAAGTAGGCCACAACAAAAAGCTTGTCCAACCATGGTAAGTTATTATTCTCTTCTAATTCATCTACAATTAGCTTCAATTATTTAGAGTAATCAATTATTATTACTGTATTAATAGGCTGGGATGGGACAACCTGGAGGCTACCCAAGCAGGCAACCAAGCTCAAGCCAACCACCAGTGTTTAGCCAACCATCAAGCTCAAGCCATCCACCAGTGTTTAGCCAGCCATCAAGCTCAAGCCAGCCACCACTTTTTAGCAGACCATCAAGCTCAAGTCAACCACCAATATTCAGTCAGCAAGGCAGTTCTATGTGTTTTGATTCTTCAGCTGTTAGAAGAGAGCAACAACCTGCTAAAAGCAGAGGCACAGGCAGAGGCACATGCAGAGGCACAGGCAGAGGCACTGGTAGAGGCAATGGTAGAGGCATTGGTAGAGGAACTGGTAGAGGCACTGGCAGAGGCACTGGTAGAGGCATTGGTAGAGGCACTGGCAGAGGCACTTGTAGAGGCATTGGTAGAGGCATCGGAGGTGTATCAAGTCAGCAACCTGATCAACCAAGGGCTATGGGAGATTCAATATCAACAGGAAGACAAAAGAGGACCAAGACTGTAGGATATGTCATCTATACAAATGCAAGTGGTAGTCAAACCTTTAATGTAAGTGTATACATAATTTTGTTCATTTCTTACTTTACTATATAAAGTCTCATTTTAAGACATTTCTATGCAGCCTGGTACTTTAAGAGAAAGAGTTATCACTCCAGGAGTTTACAAGGATGCAGCTCCAACAAATATTGATATTAGTTATAAGCCTCGAGGACTCAAATGGAATGGTGGAGATGTTGTCACAGCTTCACAGTTGCAACGTATCAGTCAGTCAACAAAAAACAAACGTGGAACATCTAGTGCACCAAAGAATGCCTAATTTTAGCAGAAAAGTCACTTTTTGGATGTGTAATCAGCAACAAAAACTTGTATTGACTGCTTTGAAATGTCTTTTGGTGTCTTTTAAGTACATTAACTTATTTGTGGTATTACTTTTAATTAGTTTTCATGGATTGGTATGTTTGATTGGAGCTCACTAGAGCAAATTAATGGTATGAATGATCAGTTTTTACTGTGTTGATTTATGTTGATCCAGAACTCATTAGTCCAATTGATAGTGAAAATGTTCGAGAATAATTGTGTTTTACTTCAAGTCATTTGAACACATTAGATAACAAATGAAACTAACACACAGTTTGTCTTCATTCCTTCAATCAAAATCATTACAATAAGAACACAATTGAAGGCATTTACAATAGAAAAGCCGATCAAAATTGCCCTCATAGAGAACATTACAATCTACCATACATACTTTTATGAAGAAATCTAGTAGAAGACAAATTAACCAACTAAGATCATTTTGTTACATAAATCCAAGTAGCCAATATCACCCCTACGACAATGCATATCATCCATACTTTTCTTGATCGATTCCTCTCCAATTCATATGTTTTGACTCTTTTCAACAAACCCCATATCACCCTCCTAGATTGAGCCAGCATTTCATCATCATACCATCGGAAATATCCACATCCACCTCGTGCCTACAAAATTAAAGAAAAAATTGAATTACAAATAAGGTGATTCTTTACTATATTGGACAATAAAAATGAATTACCTTTGAAGTTTTGCAACAAAGGAACCTACGTCCAGGGTTGGATTGCGTCCATGAGGTCTTCATTTCCACAACGACCCTACATTGACATAGCACATTTGCAGTTGAAGAAGAAGAAATCGATGAAGTAGATAACTTCGACATTGGAACTTGATGATTAAGAAGAAATCAATGAAGAAGAGATATATTCTAATGAGCTAAAGAGGAGAAATAATGATGAAGAGAAACAAAAGAGGAGAAATAAGAGAAGAAGGGGAGAAATTAGGGTTAAAGGGGGGAAGAAGATCGTTGGTGGGTGGTTCAACATCTACTTCACGCGCTCAAACGAAGTGAGATCACGTTTGGTTCCACATCAGCCAACGGTGTTTAAAAGGAACAAATTATGGGTGGTTCAATGATTCAATAGGAAAATGGTGTAGTTGAGGTACCTGAGGGGAAAAACCCAACAAGTTTAGGGTTCCGTTTATGTATTTGGCCATTAAATAAAATAGCTCTTAATTTCTACATACATATACACGCCATCACACTCTCCTCTCTATTCTTTTCACACTTTAAACGAAAGACGCATTCCTCTCCCCTTTCTTCTTCCCTAAACACAAAAATCAAGACCAAGAATCCTATGTTCTTCATCCAAACGGCATTGTCCCCATCACCTTTGTTAGTCCCTCCCTGTATATTTGAAAGATTACAGACCTTAGCTTAGATTTTTTTTACTTTGGCTTTGATAAATATCACCCAAATCTAATGCGAATCAGAAGATATCACATCGAATCCAGATTTTTTGGGGTATGTTTTCCTCTTACTTGTTTTCTCCTCCATATTTCCAATCAATCGCTCATCTCCCACTCAAATGATTCAAACCTTTATTTTTGGCTATAAATACATGGTATTGGTGGTCATATAGGGTAGAGAATTTAAATTTGAAGATTGGAGAATAGTATTCTTCAAAATCGAACCCATGAAGGTTTGAGCCTCAGATTTTTGTATTTTCTTTCAAGTTCTTTTACTAATATTTTTTTTAGTTGTTTCATATTGCCTCTAGTTCAATGTTAGTATTCAATTTCCTAAAACATTTAGTATGTGGCTTTCTATAGTTTTCCGTTTTGATTTTTGAGTAGGTATAATTCTATGAGCTTCATGTTTAATGCTCTGACGTCCTCTGCTTAAGTTCTTAGCCGAACATATTTGTGATAAAATGGAGTGTTTATTGGATTAGATCGACCTCTCTGTTTAATGTGTTGTCATTTAAAAGGTCTCAAATTGTAAGCTTATTATTTCTTCTTTTCAATAGCATGTTTGTGCTTCAAACTTGCTGCAATAGATAAGTTTAAAAATAAGTATGTTACTATATAACATTATGCATGTCACCTCTTGTAATCTTATCTCCATAAATAGTTCAAATGTTTTGAAGACAAATTTACCTAAGTTCCTGATTTATTTGAGTTATTGCCACTATGTTACATTGATTGCTCTCTTGATATTCTTATTTGTGTATCTCCTTTTTACTTCCATTTTTCTTACTCAAAAGTTTTGCACTATGGGATGTGCTAGTTGTCTTCGTTAAAAACTTTTCCTTTTCCTTTTGTTACATTCAGTTCTTTCTTCTAAATTCATGGTTTGATGATAACATTGACTATATTAGTGTTTTGTTGATCTTAATATTTGAATTAGTGTGATGCATTATCCTTGAAAGTTTCATCAAGTCTCTTCTCCTTAGTACTCTTAGTTTCTTCAATTTAAAGGTCATCCGCTTGTCAGCTTCGAAATAACATTAACTTTGTGCTCATTGCTTTATGTTGAATTTTGATACAATTTACATGATGTTAAGTATATATGTTGTCTATGAATTTCAACAACTCACTAGAATGCCTTATATCCCTCTTATTCCATTTTCTTATATGATTTGGTTGTGTAATGGTATTTAAAAGCTATTTTTATGCATTAATTATTGGATTAATTACCTATATACACATCTTTATGTTTCATAATTCCCATAATTCCCTACCATTTCTAAAAATTTCCAAAATCCCTTATTTTACTCCAAAATCAAAATTCTGGATACATAACTCCCCACTCCCCAAACCCACATTTATCACTTTCTGATTTCACTTCACAAATCTCTCCCAATTTTTATTTCCATGATCTTTTCAGTTAATTGCTCCATTAGTTTGAAATTTGAAATCAGTCTCTTTCCTGTCAAAACAATTTCTCTCAAAATATTAACTGCTCATATCCCCTCTTTTGAGCAATCACAGTATTGTGTCAATGACTATCGACGCCAGTTTATATCGAAATTCATCAACCAAATCTATGATGCTACCGGAGATTGGGTTCATGCTATCGACGCCAGTTCAGATTGGAATGTGATAGCTATACTTGTGTTGCTACTGGAGATCGGGTTCATCATTTGTTTTCAATTTTTTTCTTCTTCAACCTAGAAAGCAAAGGTTGTTAAAACCACCAAAAAAGGGGGTCAAAATTTCTGAAATTATTGATACAAAATAATGTTCGATAGTGTATCATTCAAAACATGTA